TTGAAATGCCTTAATAAAAGCAAAATAATATGAACGTGCAGGGTATATGGTAGGCAAGATTTTTGTTTCTAAATACATTTATTTATATAAGGTGTTAATTTAATATCTTCAAATACAATAATTTCAGGAAAAGGAGATATAATATTTGGCTTTACTAAAAATACCATTTTATAAATTTATATAACTTTTTGTTAATGCTTGAAGTCTTAAGACTATAATTTTGTAATATTAATTTTAAAAATTTTCTTTTTAGTTAATTTTTTTTTTTTTTTTTTTTTAACTTATAGTTAGGTTAGATTTTATTAATCAATCAAATACACAAGTACATATTTATTCAAGTAGCATGATATATATTATAGTTAACCTTTTATATAAATTTAATTCACTATTAATATTGAATCTCTTAAGAAAAATTTAAATTTAATTAAACAATATTAACAAGAGTTAATAACTATACAACTCATTTTAAAAAATACATACAAAATCTAACAAATAGGTTAACAAATAAAGAAATATATATTGAATATTATATATATAACTTTTTTCACTAATTATCTGATTATATACTATATAAAAAAGATATTTACAAAAAGTTTTTATATTTTTTTACTAATAAAGTTTTAACACTTTCATTAAAACAACTTGAAATATAACTATGTCTTCAAAAGTTACTTCTATTTGTTTATAAAATTCTTCACTCAAAAACTTGACTTTTAATGGTCAAAAAAAGTTAAGTAATATCTTTAATATCAATAACAAAAAAGTTTTTAAAAGAAAAAAAACTAATTATAAAATATCTAAAAATCTTTCTAACCTTTGAAGTAAAAGGTTTATAGAGGTTTTATTGCAGTTAAAAGATTTGTTTTTTTTATTTTAAACTGTTTTAGCCCTTTAAAGTTTTTACTTTTACAGTTTTCTATGAAATTTTGCCTATTTCAATTTGATCCTGAATTTTGTATAATACAAATTCTTATCAAAAGTGATTGATTGATCTGAAATATACAGTATTAGTTTTTGAAATATAAACAAGCATCTATTGATTGTACTTATGTGTTCCAATAATATTATTAATAATTAAAAAGACAAGTCTGTAAAAAAGATACCTTTCAACTAAGCAAATTTTCAAAAAAAATAGTTATTATATCAAAAAACAAGTGAAAGATATAAAGCATGATATCCATATCTCTTAATCAAGTCTTTCAAATAGTGAAAAAGCTTTTTCAAAAAAAAAAACTAAGGTCTTCAAGCTTTTATTAAGGCATTTCAAATATTGTGCATACATATTTAAAATTCTTTCGAGGTCACTTACCAATTGAAAATTATACCAGATTATCGACTCGTGCAAAATTTAATATCAAGCAATGTTTTATAATATCATGTGATTTTCAATATAATAAGCAAATTGAATCTGACCATCGTGTGGATTAGATAGTATCATTCGTAACGTACGCCCATACTTTCTTTAGGTGTGAAACCCATTTTCCTTAATTTTTCGGCTTGAACTCGTTCATCGTATACGCGTTTGATCTCTATCACTTGATCCTTAGTCAACAATGAATCAGATGGGGGAGGTACGCGGACCTGTTGACGGTGTTGTCTCCTATGTTGCATGGTAAGCTAAGGATCAAAAATTTTACCTTAATAAATTATCAAGAACGATCATAACAAATACCGAAGTTCCTCTTCATCTTTCTTTAAATCTACTAAAGCGCCTGCCCCATAATCCAAAAGTTGTGCCGAATTCCGTTTAACCCTTTGCTCTAGCAAATATTTTTCCATGTCATAATATCTACACGAATGATGATGAATATGAATGAACGGATTCGTGATTACAGTCTGTGCTATCATTCATAATTATGATGTAACAATAATACTTTAAGTGTGGAAGAGTCGCTGTATTGTAATCTAAAGAAAATTGTTTTTTTTTTTTTTAAATGAAAAATTATAATATTCGTAATGTTAATTATTTTGTAATTCAGGAATGAACACCTACCTTCTACAAAGTGTTTAAAGTATTCTTTCATCATGAAGGGGCTTATCTCTTCAACATTAAGATGTTTTTCTTCGAGCAACCATAAATTGAACTCCTAATGAAATCCCGTTTATTTATTATTGGTTATCTTTAAAAAAAAAAAAGATTAAATAAAGATCCCACAAGGCTTGCAAGAGTTTACCTCTTCTTTTAAATGCATACTGATATGTATATTGAAAGAAGATTAGTGTGAAACAGCAGCACATCGTTCACAAAAATATGTGAGAAAAATGAGAGAAAGTTACTCTTTTTCACCGATTACACCATATTTTCCCCATTGATTCTTCAACGTTTTTGTCTTGTGTTCTTTCCTCTTTTTCTAAAGTTAAGTGTAATTATCAGGAAAAGTTATCATGTGCATTCTTAATAGTGTATACGGTCAATACCTTTTTGTCTTTCTTCTTTTTTTCACTTTTTTCGCTCTTCCGTTTTTTATGTTTTTTTTTCTTTTGTCTGCTTGCCGATGCAGATGAATCAGATGATTCGGTATCATCAGAATCAGAAGATTCAGAACGTGCTCGTTTATGTCTTTTACGCGCGTGCCGTCTTCTCGAATGATCACGCTCGGCAGAGGTGGATCTGCTCCTACTTCTATGAGCTCGGACTCTATAAAAATTGGGCGAACAATTTATAATATACTATCATGCCATTATTCATGCATTAATAAGCATAGATACCATTAAGGCGAGGTGATGTATGTATAAATTTAAAAAAAGTAATTCGAACCTCTCTTTTTTCTTATCATCAATTGATCTGTCTCGTAAACGACCTTTCCGAGTAGGAGATAAGGAGTTCGAATGAGTGCGCCTGTGAACTCTTGGGACGTAAGCCTCCTTAGTATGACGTTTCTCTTCTAGGTCAGCTCTGCCCTTAGAATCACGACGCGCTCGTTCGTTTCGTTCGTATGAG